TAACAATAGTAAAAAAAAAAGAAAAAAAAGAATATACCATCGCGTACGATTATGAATTACGCGGACGTTATCAAGTGAGAAAAAAAAGAAAAGAAAATGTTGACAATGATTTTACTTATAACAAATCTGTTATTTCTTATATACAAACACGACTACGCACTTACCTTAATCTTAATTGCTGTTATCTCTGTTTTGATCGAAATACCTCCCTCTCTCTCTCTCTCTCTCTCTCTCTCTCTCTCTCTCTCTCTCTCTCTCTCTCTCTTTTTTCTCTATCTCTTTCTTTTATTTCTTTATCCGAAGAAAATTCTTCGACTTAATCCGTAGAATAAAATATAATATCACTTTTGAGCTTTCCAAACAATTCTTGATCAAACATTTTTAATCATTAATCAAAAAGGAGCTTATTTAATCGATATCACCGTAATTAAGATTCTCTGTAAACAGTTTTCTCATTGGATAATATAGATAATGGATAAAGGATATTGGACAAATTTAAATCATTCTTCACAAAATACAAGAGGAGGATGCTCGCTTTGCGTTTAAAAAAAGGAATTTACAAAAAGAAAAGAAAGAAAGAAAGAAAAAAAAAAAAAAAAGAAAAAAGAGAGAGAAAAAAAGCAGAAAAGAAATGAAAAGAAGGAAGAAGCAAAAGAAAAAAGAGAGAAGAGAAAGAAGACGAGAAAAGAAGAAAAGAAAAGAAAAAAGGAGAAAAGAAAAGATCGTGAGAAGGACAGTGGGAGAGAAAGGGGGAAAGAGAGAGAGAGAGAGAGAGAGAGAGAGAGAGAAAGAGAGAGAGAGAGAGAGAAAAGAAAAAATGAAAAAGAAAATCTTCGGAATATTTGCAGCAGACTCGTGAGAATGAACAAGACGATAGACGTGAAATTTACTTTTTCTTGAAGAAACTCTTCTCGGTTAGGCGCATATATTTTAATGGAAAGGAAGCTCGACGAGAGAGTAAAAGAAGATACGAGATTTCGAGAGAAGAAAGTATTTCAGTTTTATTCTTCACCTCTACAAAATCTTATCATTGACTTTAATCCGTCTCTGTAACCACAATCTCTCTCTCTCTCTCTCTCTCTCTCTCTCTCTCTCTTTTTCTCTTCTGTCTGTCTGTTTCTTTCTCTTTCGCTCTCCCATACATAACACGCAAACACACTTTTCCTCTTTATTTACAGTTTACGGTTTGGGCGACGAAAATGAAACTACCATTCTTGAACGTACTTCTCTTCTCAGCAACGTGTAAATACACTGTACACTCTTTGTCGTTTCAGAAAATGAAAAGGACAAACATAATAAAAACGAGACCTAAAAGGAAAGAGAAACAAGGAAAAAGAAAAAAGAAATTAAAAAAAAAAAAGAAAAAAAAAAAGAAAATACGTAGAAGAGAAGGAAGCAGAAAGATATATAAATGAAGAAAAGAAATGAAAGGAGAAGAAAAGAAATAATAATAATAATAATAGTAATAATAATAATCATAATAATAATCTTTGAACCCTCATTCCACTTTTAATTTCTTCGTCACTTAAATCACACAATATTTCATCGCCCACTCAAGGAAAATAATTCTTTTTAAATTCGTTCTAATCGTCATTTTAAATCCGATGTGTTTTCATTTTTCCTTACTTTTTGTTTTCTTTTTTTTTTTCTTTTTTTTTTTTTTTTTTTTTTCATTTATCCGAGATAATAAAACCTCGTAAAATCCACCTTCGTTAAACCCATTTCCTATTTCTTTCACTCTCAAGTGCCTAAAGTGAAGTAGCACATACCAAGTAATATCTGTATACATATACAACTTTGTATTATATGTAACTATGAAAGGGAAAGAGAGAGAGAGAGAGAGAGAGAGAGAGAGAGAGAGGAAGGGAAGAAGGTTTAGAGCTTCCGACACTTTAACGTTCTACATCTGCATTCGGCATGTCTTCTTTTCGTCGTTTGTGGGTCTCGTCGTTTAAAGGGAAAGGCAAGTCGCCCACTCAAAGGGACATCATAAACTACGACCATTGGGGGGAACTTCATGGAACTTGAGAAATACATAAATGTATGAGTGTAAAGACCGATAAAATGAACGAGAAAAGAGGAATAGAAAGACGAAAAGAGAGGGAGAGAGAGAGAGAGAGAGAGAGAGAAAGAGAGGGAGAGTGAGGGAGATAGATAAAGAAAGAAAGAAAGAAATATTATTATTATTATTATTATTATTATTATTATTATTATTATTATTATTATTATTATTATTATTATTATTATTATTATTATTATTATTATTATTATTATTATTATTATTATTATTATTATTATTATTATTATTATTATTATTATTATTATTATTATTATTATTATTATTATTATTATTATTATTATTATTATTATTATTATTATTATTATTATTATTAATATGTATTAAGAGAAAGAGAGAAAGTGATATTTGGTATACATCATTGTTATTTAAAATTATGTGGAAAAAATGTCCCTCGATGATTTTTTTTTCTTTTTTTTTTTTTTTTTTTTTCTTAATAATTCTTAACAATCAATGTTAGATCTATGACGAATCAAGAATCTTCTTTTTAAAATCTTTTAATTCTCCTAATTCTTTGTTTCATTTTTTTCCTTTATAATTCTCAGCAATCAATGAACAAATTGATCTAAATTGAATCAAGAATTTTTCTTCTTTCTTGTATCTTATAATCGGATAAACGAAAACGAATTAATCGAGAAATAGAGAAAGAGATTCAATGTTTAATATTATATCATTGTTATATACAATGACGTGGAAAAATGTCACTCGATAATTCTCATAATTCTTTCTTTCTTTCCTTTTTTTTCTTTTTTCTTTATAATTCTTAGCAATCAATGAACAATTCGATCAAATTGAATCAAGAATCTTCTTTCTGGGTTTCATAATCGGATAAACGAAAACGAATTAATCGAAAAAGAGTGAAAGAGAGAGAGAGAGAGAGAGAGAGAGGGAGAGGGAGAGAGAGATTCAATGTTTAATATTATATCATTGTTATTTACAATGTCACTTGATAATTCTCATAATTTTTTTTTTTTTCTTTTTTTCTTTATATATTTCTCTAGGAATCAATGTACGATCTAAGACGAATTAAGAATCTTTTTTTCTGTTAATTCTATCATACGAATTAATCAATTTTTATTCTTTCACGTTTTTCCATTTTTAAAAATATTTTCTTCGAAGAAATTTGTTAGACGGTGATCAACCAATGAAAAGTCTAAAAGAAAGTAAAGTTTTTCAACGGCGTACCGATTTAGGAATTCCAATCGAACTTACTACAGAAAGCGATCATGCGAATTCTTATTTCATATCCTTTATACAGTTTAATTCCATCGCAAACGTCACGTACCGGGGCAGTTCGTTCGAATAAAAGAACGATCCATACCATAAATCTAAATAAATAAGATGAAGTTTCTCTTTCTTCGTATCTTTCGAGGAGCACGAGATCCTTAGAAAAATACTCAAAAGTGCAACGTGACTTTGTCGAGAAAGAAGAACGAAAGACTAACGAAAGTATTTCTATTATATTTTTCTTTTTATTTTTTTCTCGTTTCGTCCACGCACCCACAGATTCTCTCTCTCTCTCTCTCTCTCTCTCTCTCTCTCTTTCAACTTCGAACAGTTATTCGCCATCCCCCAGGACAATCCAGCGCAATCCTGAAACTTCAATATTTGATATACGTGGTCAGTTTACACCCGAGGTCTTCGAACTAGTTTCATAGTCGGCTTGATGACGTGCAAATTGGGTTACATGCCCTCGGGAATCGTATAATTGAATTTGACGAGGACATGCTTATTATCGTGTACAAACCGTAAGATATGTACGACGACGACGACGACGGCGGCGGCGGCGGCGGCGGCGGCGAAGACGACGACGACAACGATGACGACAATGACAAATCGATGTTAATTTATCACTAGTCTCAATTACCACACCGATACGTAACATTTCGTTCCATGTCCAAAGATCACATGATAGATTTTCTTTATATTTTTACGATTAATTGTTTATTGAATTACAAAAAAAGAAAAAAAAAAAAAAAAAAGAGAAAGAAAGAGATAACTTCAACGAAGGATTATTTTTTTCTCTCTCTCTTTCTCTCTCTCTCTCTCTCTCTCTCTCTCTTTCTATTTTCTCTCTTTAACTTACTAGCTTTCCTTTTTTCTTTTTTATATAACGAGCACGATTTCTCGTATTTCCTTCGTTTCTTCGTTAAACGAAATAAAATCATCTCGTGAAATCTTAAATGTTATTTACGAACGTAGAACAATTCTTGTAACTGTAAGATGTTTTACACGTCACGTATTTGAATAAGAGGTAAAATAGTAATCTCATCGTAAATGAAAAGAATCGTGCGGCTTCATATAAAATGCAAACATCTCTTCTCTACGTCAACGTAAAGATAGTTGATTGAAACAGAAAATCTATTTGTTCGAGAGACAAACATAATAAGAAAAGAAGAAGAAGAAGTAGAAGAAGAAGAAGAAGAAAAAGTTCGGCTTCACAAATTGAAAATTTTTCGATATATTATATCGATATCCGTGATTTGTTTAATAACGTTTTAAAATGAAAAGTATAATAAATCTGAAATTGTCAGTGCCAACTCGAGAAGAATACAAAAAAAAAAAAAAAAAAAAAAAATTTTATCGAGAACATTAATGTTCGTCGATATATATAAATACATATGTATAGCATAAACGCGACAAATGACGATGTAAATAATGGAGATTAATCGAGTGTGTAATATATATCATTTTACGGATGATTAAAAGAATATTTCATATGAATAAAAATAAATATTGAAAAAGAAAATTAATAATAATAACAATAATAATAATAATAAGGAAGAAGAAAAAAAAAAAAAAAAGAAAAAAAGAAATGTTACGAAGATCGACGAATTCATTTGACTTATGGCCTCAGTGGTTGACAGCTGGCATCGGTTAGTTAGGAGGAAAAAGGCAATTGAAACGTGTGGGAGGTCGTAATGAAAAATATATTCGTAATGTAGTTGGTAAAAATTAAAATTCGATATAGAGAAATGTCAAATCCCATCGCAGTGACCATACTGGCCATAAGCTTAGGTCTGGTGTCTGGTTGGACGTCGCCGTATTTGGCAAAATTCACAAACGAATTTTCAACAAACATTCACATAACCGATAAGGAGGCATCTTGGGTGGCTTCATTTTTACCAATGGGACGACTCCTCGGTGCTATTTTCGGTTCTCTAACTACGGAATATTTTGGCAGCAAAATATCTTTAATCTTGACAGGATTGCCGTTGATGATCGGTTGGATATGCATGATATGTGCCACCTCGGCTATTTGGTTTTACATATTTAGAATTTTTACGGGTAAATGATTTTATCTTTTTTCCTTTTTTTTTTTTTTTTTTTTCTTTTTTCCTTTCTCTCGATATATCCATCCAAACAGAGAACGATCAAAGAATACGATAAATCCCATTTTCTCTACACATCATCGCAATAGGTATGTCTATGGGCATGTTCTTCACTTGTTTTCCAATTTTCATCGGTGAAATATCAACAGCACGTATACGAGGTGCTTTAATCGGGCTAGTGATTAATGGCTTACCCATTGGCACTCTGATTGGAAACATAATGGGTCCCCAGATGTCGAGCAAGTGGTTTGGTGTCATTAGCCTCCTGCTGACTTCGATTTTCCTCTTGACGTTTCCCTGTCTACCAAAATCACCGTATTATCTTATACGATGTAATTCCATGGAGAATGCGGTTAAATCGATTCATTTTTATCATCGAAAATCAAACGTCATCGAGGAATTGAACGAAATCGAGATATTTATAAATGATACGAGCGCGAAGACATTTCGCGAGAGATTAAAGCTTATGGCAGAACCAAAGAATCGCCGTGCCTTTGTCATCATCGTGACATTATTCTTCTTCATGCAATTCAGCGGACTCAATTCTATAATATTTTACATGGAAATCATCGTACGTCAAGCCAAGGTTACGTTCATATCACCATCGACAGTCGTGATAATCGTAAATTCGATCGGTACTATTCAATCCATTTTTTTCTTCTATTTTTTATTATTATTATTATTATTATTATTATTATTATTATTATTATTATATCTTTATTTAATCGAAAAAAGGATTAATTCTTTTCTTTTTCTTCTTTTCTTTTTCTTTTATTTTTTTGATATTTTTAAATAAATTCCAGGTATCATTTATAGTTGGCTGGCCATATACGCAATCGACCATTACGGCAGAAAATTGCTTCTTATCATCTCGAGCGTAAGCGTATTTATCAGTATGATGATATTAGGAATTCATTTTCTGTTGCTAACATATGATTACGATTCTGAAATCCTTCAACCAATGCCAATTGTATCAATGATAATGTTTATGATGATTTGCTTCGGTCTAATATCCGTACCGAATACTTTACTGTCAGAATTATTTCCAATTACATTGAAGAGCATAGCCGGTTTTATTGGTAGTTTTACATCGGGATTATTTGCTTTCATATCTAGTAAAACTTTTCAACCGTTAATTGATCTAGTCACGATGCAAAATGTATTCTTTATCTACGGTAGTATAATGCTATTATGCATTATCTATTCGATTTTTTGCATACCGGAAACAATGGGAAAGACATTTAAAGTATGTATAAAATTCTATATCAACCTTGAATTTTATTTTACATTTTTATTTCTTTATCTATCTATCTATCTGTTTATCTGTCAATCTATCTCGTGTCCTCCTTTGAATCATTCGTTCTTACGTAAACAGGAAATCCAAGTTTTACTTGAGGAAAATGGGCATACACGGAGTAGAAATCAAACGGAGGAACATTGATAAGTATTGAGAATCATTGACCAAATTTGATAAAAAACAAGGAAAAGGAAAGAAAAATAAAAGTAAGAATAGAAACGAAAGAAACGATAAAATCTATTTAAATATTTGAAAACTGTTGTATATATATATATTTCACATTCCCAACTATGTAAATACGTTTCATTTCATTATTTTACGTACTATGTAAATATACATACATACATACATACATACATACATACATACATACATACATACATACATACATACGTACATACATACATACATACATATATATATATATATATATATATATTCATGAATGTATGTATGTATGTATATATGTTTTATATATGCGGGATGGAAAGTTTTAGCATTAATAGTCGTGTGTACAAGTGTGCCACCTCGAACTATTCCCGTCGACACGAAAGAGTTATAGGACTTATATTTTTGTAATGGTAAATAGCTTCTCAAAGTTCACTTGAATATATCAGATTAGAATGAGTTGTAGGCGAACAAAGTCATTGAACATCTTAAAACACATTGCGAATGGATTACGAGAAATTCTCGTGATCTAATGTTTTTGATCAATCACAAGAATTCTCCGTACATATTACATATTAACTTGTAAGAATATGTAATAAATAATTTAGAAAATTGCAATGGTTATTTAATTTTATTTTACGTAACATTGAAATTTATTTAAAAGCTCTTTTAGTATATATTCACTCAAAAACATAATTGACCGATCATTATGGCTAAAGTTAGAAATAAAATTATTGATCCGCAATGTGTTAAGAGATACATAGTCGGCAATTATTTTCGAAAACCAATAAAGAATCAGTATCGAAACGATATGACTATATTTACGTCATTATTGATATCAAAAATTATTGTAAAAGAGAGAAACGATCGAGCATGTCGATCTAATCGCTAAAGGAGGAACTACGAGAAGAGAATTTTCAAGTTGAACGATTGTTGAATCGTATCGTTATTAACAAAGTTGACACATTCAAAGAGAAAAGAGTAGAAGATATTGTTTGGAAGTGCAATGGGTGTTTACATAAAAAAAAAAAAAAAAAAAAAACGCTAGATATCTGTGATTTCCTAAAGAAGGAAAGATTTGATCGATTTCCAAAACGATCGTGACAGAGTTTACGTAAAACTGGCAGCAAAAAAAAAAAAAAAAAAAAACAAACAGACTGAGAATAAAACGTGGTCTTAATGAGAATAAAACGTGGACTATCTTTGTTGAGTGTTTTCTTCAATACCAAAAGAAGGACCTAGGGTTTAAACTTGAAATTAATAAATCAGCAATTAGATTCCTACAGAATGATCGGTATTCTACGGGAAGATAGATACGTAATTTGTAATATAGGCGAGGATGAATTCGAATCCCAGGAATACGAGGGCTTCAGTCGATCGCACAAAGCCCTGAGGGGTCAACTATGGGGTTAATTACGTCGAGCGATCAGTGTTGAATGTGCGAAAATCAGAATGAATGAGGACGAAACATCGTAATTATTATTGTAACGCTTAGTACAATGAATTTGTGGGATGGAATGAGTGTTATAGTTAATAAACGGTAATAAAGTGCAAGGTGAACCGTAAAATAATATATTGGCAAAATATAATCGAGTGATAATAGAATGATATTAAGGAAAAGAAAAAAGAAGATACTAGAAGATAAGCGTGAAGTAAAAAAAAAAAAAAAAAAGAGAAAAAAAAGAGAGAAAAAAGACATTTGAGAATAATTGAACGTACAGAATTGCCGACTTTGGAATGAATGGTTCTAGCATTAATTGTGTATACATGAGATAAGTCGATCGGCAGTTAAACAAAAGATGGAAGGTCTAGCGTTAGTTAGGTGTTTGTTTATATATATATATATGTGTGTGTGTGTGTGTCAGGAGACAAGTCGGTCGACGATAGAACAAAAGTCGATCTGTCCTTTGTGAGATGCATTTGTTTATGGAAGAAAGAAAAGGGACCCTGAGATATTGTGAATAAAAATGAGATGAGAAGTGCAATGTGTACGAGATAGACAAAACGAGAATAACGAATCGAACAAAGAGCCGAATAGAAAATTACCGAATGCGTATTACGAATTTGAATGAAAATGAAAAAGGAATGAAAATGGATAAACGTGAGAGAAAAAAATAAAGGACAACGGAGAACAGTCTTGTGCGAATCAAGCAAAAAGAAAAGTAAATGATAACATAGGTCGATCTTAAATATAACGATTTAAAAATATTAAAAAGTTTTAATATATTAATTAATATAATTCTTATTAATTAAGAATAAATGATACGAATTCTAACTTTAAGACCAATTATAATTTTTCTAAAGAAAATAAAAAAAAAAGAAAAAAATAGATGAATACACTATAATTACAATGTAATTTAAAACATGTGCAATTGCGATAGTACTAACTAAAATGTTTATCTTATCGTGAATGATTAGACGAATATAATCGGACCACTTAAGTAAATTCATTAAGCGAAATGATATTAATCGATTTAATAATTTGTTCTTCTTCTATTTTTCTTTCTTTTTTTCTTTTTTTTGTTGTTTTATTTATTTTTTTTTTGTTTTTTTTTTTGTATTTTTTTTGTTTTTTTGTTTTGTTTTTAACGACCTTAATCCGACGACAAGCGTAATTATACTCGAAGACAATTTGACTCTTTAAAAAATATAAACATATTTTATCTCGCAAGAAATAACAGAAAAATGAAAGAATCCCGATGGTCGACCGAGAAAAGAAAATAAAGAAGAAACAGAAATAAAAATGAAAACGCATGATGGGGAGTTGAAAGGGGAAGGGGGGAGAGAGTGGGGGCGGGGGAAGAAAGAGAGAGAGAGAGAGAGAGAGAGAGAGAGGAAGGGGGGAAATAAGGAAAAAACAGAAAAAGAAAAACATTTCCTTGCAAATTTATGCCGGTATTAACTATTTACGATAGGTGAAATAAACAACGCATTTGTTTTGATATTTCTCCATAGTCAAATTTCACAACATCCAGAATTTAATCTTTGAAAAATCCAACGAAGCATACTTTTGAAATCATTCTTACGAAAGAAGTTCTTTCTATTTACTCGAAGACATCATACATATTTGCTTTGAAATAGATACGTCTATGTACCTACATATGTAATCTACATACGTATGTATATCACGAAAAACGATGATAAGAAGAGAAAAAGGATCTTTATGTGCGCGTGAACGACGAACATGTATCACGCGGTCGTAATTAAGTTCCCCTATCCCCACCCTCAACCCCAGCACTCTCCACCTTATTCCCCATACTTACTAAAAAGCGTGAATTGTTCAAATGAATTATTTTTTTCCCTTATTTTTTTTTATTTTTTATTATTACTTTTTTTTTTGTTTTTGTTTCTTTTCCCCTTATTTTTTATTATTATTTTTTTTTCTTTTGTTTTTTTTTCCCATTATTTTTTACTTATTCACGCATGACAATAAAAACCATTGAAAACTATCGAATCTCTCTCTATCTCTCTCTCTCTCTCTCTCTCTCTCTGTCTCTGTCTCTCTCTTTCTCTCTCTACGAAAAAAATATCATTTTATTTTACACTTAAAATAGTTACTTTTTTGCACTTGTTACTGAACATTGATTGAAAATCAAACTGGTTTGATCCTGTCACGATTGACTGCAACCATGTTGTCGCATAGTATCGAGGTCGCGCATATGAAATCCTCACAATAGCATACTCAGTACTTGAAATCATAATCCACGATATAATAGTAAATTCACATTCATAATTCACGACTCTTTTAGTGATTCAAATGACCTCTAACATTAACATCTATTATAACTATCGTTTTATTGAATAGAGGAAAAAAATTGATTTCCTTTTTTGTTTTTTCTTTTTTTGATTTATTTATTTTTTTCTTTTTTTTTTTTTTTTTTTTTTTTTGAGGAACTCCTTTACTTTGTTGTTTCTGGCTATCGATATCTTTTGAAAATTAATTAATTGTTAAATATTTTCATATAATTCAGTCGTTCATCATGTTAAAAAAAAAAAATCGGTCATTACAGATGTACCTTATCGCGAATTTGAACATGAAGAGAAACGAAGAGAGAGAGAGAGAGAGAGAGAGAGAGAGAGAGTGTGTTGGTTGGGTGGGGTTAGATGATATCAAGGAGTGAGGGTAAAGAAAAAGCGATTAACATGAATAAATCATACGAGGAGTGTGTAAACTCTTTAACCGAAAGAATCTCAACGCAGTATGTTACTCGGACGACTCTGGAATAAAAGAGATTTGACGACACCTGACACGATACGAACATGACTACGGGCACAAAGGATACGGAGACAAAGAGAGCAGCAACTTGGCCACAATGGATCGCCAGTGTTGGCGGTGAGTTTTTGATAAAAAGAATAAAAATTAAAAAAAAAAAAAAAAAAAAAAAAAAAAAAAAAAAAAAAAAAAAACAATAGAACAGAATTTATTCATCGAGATTTTTGTTATCGACTTTCTTTCTTTTTTCTTTTCTTTTTTAATTTTCCTCCTACTCTTCTTCTTCTTTCTTATTTTATTTTCCTTTACAGTAAGTCTCCTGTTAATGCAGATAGGATTATTAGCAGGATGGTCGTCGCCCTACATAGAACGATTGTTAACCGGTAAATCAATCATGGTGATAACGGTCCAAGAAGCATCATTGATCGTAATGTTTCTTAATTTAGGAAGACTTTTTGGTGCATTCATTGGCGCTATATTTGTAAATTTGTTCGGTAGCAAAAAGACGATACTAATATGCAGTATACCGATGAGCTTATGTTGGATCTTTGTAATAATAGCTGACAGGATCTTTTGGTTATATCTTGGACGAATTGCTGGTGGTATTGGCATGGGAATGAGTTATTCCTGCTTTTCACTCTATTTAGGTGAAATCGCGGATTCTAATATACGAGGTGCATTGGTGACAATCGCTATGGCCGGCTCTTCGTGCGGAAACCTATTTATATTCGTCATGGGATGTTATTTATCTATAAGAATATCCGCTATTGTTAATCTGATATTTAGTATCATTCTTATGATATTGTTCATTTGGCTACCGGATTCTCCTCATCATTTGATTAAAATAAATCAAGACGATAGAGCCAAAAAATCGATCCTTTGGTATCATAGAGATATTAATGTCGATAAAGAATTATTGAATTTGAAAAAATTTATCAATGCGTGCGACGAGCTTACTACGTTTCAAGCATTAAAGCAATTTAAAGTACCACAGATAAGAAAGGCGATGATAGTTACTATCATGTTATTCTTTTACTTACAAATATGCGGTCTCAATACGATATTATTTTACATGGAAACTATCATAAAATCGGCACAAGTTGACATAATCGAACCATCCTACATCGTTATTATCATCACGATATTTGGAATAGTGGCCTCATTGTTATCGATGATGCTTATCGATAAATTCGGAAGAAAAATTCTCATGTGTTTCTCTTGTATGATCGTTACGATGGCACTGATCGGTCTGGGAACGCACTTTCAACTTTTGGAAATGAACGTTGATACGGATATGATACAATGGCTCCCAATAGTTTGTATATTATTGTTTGAAATGGCCGTTTACATGGGATTACTTCCAGTACCAAGTGCCGTAGTAGGAGAAATATTTCCGCCTAATGTAAAATGTGTAGCTGCAAGTATATCGAGTATTTTTGCAGCCGTATTTTCACTCACGGCAGCTGGAACTTATCAAATATTCATCGATCTGATGACCAAAAAATATACCTTTTGGTTGTACGCGATAATATTGATTACCGCTATACCAGTTATAATAATTTTCTTACCAGAAACAAAGGGAAAAACGTTACAAGAGATACAAAATGAATTGATGAATATAAAACCTAAGGAAGTTGATAATATCAACGACAAAAACGAAATTCAAAGATATTAAAGATTTAAGAATATATATATATATATGTGTGTGTGTGTGTGTGTATATACATTTTCGATCGGGCGAACCATATTGACTGTGCTAATGAGTTATTAATATTTACATTAATTATATACATCGATCTTTAATATTATTTATTTATACGTCATACCTGTATGTGCGTATATGTGTATGTGATACTATCTATGTATATTAATCATAACTGTTAGAAAATATAATCATTACACAAAATTATTAAAAATTTAACGATGTAAATGGAATATATAACAATACGGATATAATTATTTTCCCTTGTCCCGTTTTCTTAGTCCCTATCCCTCCACCCTCCCCTCCCCTACTCTACCCTTCCCTCCCTACCACCTCTCATTACATAGTTTTCCCTGTAGACACTTTCTTCTTAATCTAAGAACATTGCGACTAATTTCTCTTTGTGGTGACGTAAAGCGGTGTAATGTCGGGATGGAACTCGGCCAGTTTCATATTTTACAAGGTAATATTTCAACTACATGCTCGTTGACAGTATTAAATGTAACATGGCCGGAGGGCACTGTGGTATCGTGGAAATTGGACACTACCTTATCTTGCACAGGTCATTGCCGATGGCCCCTTTTATCAAGGCGAATGAACCCCATGAGAATCGATAGACCACTCCCATCTTCCAAGACTTTTTCTCTCTCTCTCTCTTTCTCTCTATCTCTCTTTCTCTTCTGTTCTCTTTCATTTCATTATTATTATCGTTTATAACGATCGTTATTCGATCGTATATCTCTTTCACACAATTCACTAACTCACTCATTCATTCATTCATTCATTCATTCATTCATTCATTCTCTCTCTCTATCTCTATCTCTCTCTTATTAACTTATAACTTTAGGACGATCTTTCCATAATAGATTTGTTCGAAGATAATTATCAATAAACGATAGATAAATAATTTTAGAAGAGTTTCAGATTTTCGTCAAATTAACAGTTCAATGAAATAAATGTATGTATTATGTAAAAAAAAAAAAAGAAGAAAAAAGAAGAAAAAAGAAAAGAGAGAAAAAAAAATCGAGATATTAATCTGATCGTAAAATATTCTCATTGTATAAGTGAACCAAGAAATATAATTTACCGTACTGTACGTATATGTTATATAACTCGTGGCCCAGTGAAACTTTAATAAATATCATTTTCCCCACGATGCCATTATAAAGCGAACGTGAATTACGAGTACGGGTGAGAAGCCATTCGAAGCCAACGAATTGAATTCATTCGTTGCTTTCACGAGCACGTCAAATATGTCGTAAAATGAATTTCATTGATAGAAACGAAACTGGTCAAAGATTACCAATTCGAAAATAGTGATAAACATTCGAATATTCTGGATAGGTAGGGATGGAGGGAGGGGTAAGTCAATGAGGTAAGAGTGAAAAAATATAGAAATAAAAACTACAACAGCAAGAAAAACACAAAAAAAAAAAAAAAAAAAAAAAGAAAAAAAGAAAATCAAAAACAAAAGCAGACATCATTAAGTCGTTAACGTTCTCGACCCAGTGTCATACGAGATTACGTATGTTGAATTCTCATTGTGTTACCGCATTTTCCGTCTTCTCTACGATGTCCTCTGTGTATCTCTGTGTGTGTGTGTGTGTGTGTATGTATACGCGTGTGTGTGTGTGTGTGTTTGTGGCTATAGATGTGCCTGTGCGTGCGCGGTGTGTGTGGTCGAACGCGTTCGTGTGTAAAGTTTAATTAAAACGCATGCCTTTTTATGCAACATCCGGAGCCCTGTAATAGGTAGAATGCAACGTTGCTTCTGCATCTTCCCTCGGCGTTTAATTAAATTAATGAATCCGTTCCATCGCATATTTTTATCCGAGATGATGCCAGGAGAGAGAGAGAGAGAGAGAGAGAGAAAGAAAGCAAAGGCCATGTACGTGGACAAAATTGAAAGACCGAATTTTAACGCGTTCACGTACGAGATCGATCGTAATTTTTGTTTTATTTATTTATTTATTTTTAGTTTATTTTTTTTTTTTTTTTTTATTTTTTTTCTTCGTTTGAATTCCTTTTTTCAATCTTCCAATCGTGGCGTGGATAAATGAAATAGGACAGAGATAGGGAGAGAGGTAGGGATGTAGGGAGGGGGAAAGTATAAGTTGGAAAATGTAAAATTTGTTGAGATTAAAAAATAATTTTTATCTAATGAAGTCTATCGAATGTGATTCAATCAAAGATGAATGAAAGAATGATTCTTTTCTTTTTCTTTCCTTTCTTTTTTTTTTTTTTTACTTTTTTTTCTTTTTTTTTCTTTCCAATCAATCACAGAAGAGATAAGGAAAGGGAGAAGGCAAGGATAAATGAAGGTAGGGAATAGATTATTGATTAGAAAATGTAAAATTTGTTAAAATTGAATTATAATTTATCTAATGAAGCATTGATGACTTCAATTGGAAATGAACGTACGAATGATTCTTTCTTAATTCACGTATAGATGAAATAAAGAGAGAGAGAGAGAGAGAAGACCGGTTAAAAAAACGTAAAATTGTTAATATCAAAATATTATTTATCTAATGAATAGCATCGATGGTTCATCGATCGGAGATAAATGATTTCGAAATAATTACATAAAAAAATTCGATTATTATAGAAAGCAATAAAATATTTATACGTATTTTGATAAAAAAATCTTAATATGTACGTGGTGTTAAGAAAAAAAAAAAAAAAGAAGAAGAAGAAGAAGAAAAGGGAAAGAAAAGTTGAGAAAAAAAGGGAAAAAGTCAAAAGGAAAACAAAAGAAATAGAAACGTCGGGGTTTTTTTTTAAAGGATTTTCGACTTCGTCGAAACTATCACACGCAACCGCGAAAATGGCGGCTCTTCTTTCTCTCGTTCTCTCTCTTTTCGCGGGAAGTTAGTTAAGCCACATAACGAGCCGAGAGTAATTACTGGACGAGTAAGAGTAATTCGATTGTTCTCGTACAGGTCCTATCCGTCCGGAACACCTCCCTCCCCCTCCCCCTCCCCCTCCCACCCATCCTCCCGTTGCTCGTAGAACTAGCAATCGCATTAGTGCTATCTGCGAGCAAACCAAGTTAATTAGTCCAACAGTCTGACCTCCTTCCGTCTCATTCGGCTAAAATATAATTTCATTAGTAAAATGTCGTCGAACGCGTCGTAAACGTCCTTACTTACGATGACAACAACGACAACAACAACGATAAAAGAGAGAAAGGAGAAAAGAAAAATAATAGAGAGTGGGGAGGGGATAAGGGAAGAAGGAAATACGAAAAGAAAAAAGAAAAAAAAAAAAACAGGTCAAATCAAAATCTATCTTATTGGGATCGTATTAACGTAACGTATAATACTCCCCTTTTTTTTTTTAACATTTTACGCGACCACCATCGCTAACCACCATATCACTACCACCATCATTGTTCTGATGAGACAACAAAGCAATCCAATCGTTCATCCGTTATTTTATTTATCTTTTGTTTGTCCTTTATATAAATAATCGTACATATCTACGGGATATTTCAGAAATAAATCGTCAAAGTTTACAAACACATTTTACTCGTTTTATTACTAACGTATGAAAAAGCAAGATGAAGAAAAGAAAAGATGAAGATAAAATGATGATAAAAGAAGAAAGAAAGAAAATACATGGAAACGTCGATCAATGGATAACGCTTTCTTCTTTCTGAGTTATAAACAATGTTTATTTTTTCTTCTTCTTTTTTTTTTTTTTTTTTTTTTGTAAAGACAAACTCTGAGAACATTTAGAGATCGTACGTAAATTTAATTAAAGATACAATGATTTCCATATTTGCATTAAATAGCTTTGCTCGGGTGTATGTAAATAAATGAACGTTTATAATACGTAAAGAAAACGTTTATGAAGCCATATTCATGTGACGTTTTCTTTTTCTTTTTTTTTTCCTTTTTTAATTTCTTTTTTTCTTTTATTTCATTTACCTTCCTTTATACTTACAGCGAACAGAATAATGAATGAACTCGCAAAAGTTCGATGATTTATTTAACGAAACACCCTGTATATCAACCCCAATCCATCTACTAATATATCAAAGTGATTCGTTAATTATAAAAGTAATTAAACGGACGGAGGTGATCGACGACGTAACTTGATTTTTAATGTCAAGTTAAATCATTAATATCGCTTACAAGCGTTTAAACAGTTTCATTAAAAAATATTTACATAAAATGAGTCGATTGAAAATATTTCCCCTCTCTATTTTATTTCTCTCTCTTTCTCTCTCTCTCTCCTTCTTCTCCCCTTTCACGGATCTTTTCTTCGCGCACATTCAAACGTATCGTACGCTTTCATAAAATATTATTTTTATTACGATCGAAAAAAGGGAGTTTTTCTTCACCGTTCCTCTGCCCCACCCCCCATCTCACCCCTCTCCTCTTATTTGTCGGCTCTCTCAGGTTTTTCTCTCTCGAACTATTTCGAATAAACGATCATCGGTTAAGTTATCTTAAAATTCAACGAACCTAAAAGCGAGGTCATTTCCATTCCTACGAAAGGAAGGAAAACTTCCCTTCACCCTCTTCCCTTTTCTTTTTTTTTCCGATCTCTTTTCAGCACGATTTCCTTCTCACACAACTCTTTCTTTATTCCGTTTTTTCTCTCTCGTCTCTCTCCACCTCCCTCCGCCCCCCCCCCTCTCTCTTTCTCTCTCTCTCATACAACCAGCGAACTTTGATCGGCCATAAAAATGGAAGACTTGCGAACAATGCCAGAAAAAGCATTGGCAACCGTACAATCGCTTCGATTTCATCCACTTATAACTATCTATATAAAAGGTGAACGTGTCCGTACGAAATTTCCTTCCATTTTATCGTCGAATTTTCGAAATGTTGTTCGAAAGCTTGGGCGTGGCGTAGGGATGAAATTGTGGTTAGAGGAATAGGAAGGGAGACTAAAATTGAACTCTAGAAAAAAGAAAGAAAGATATAGAAAGAAAGGAAATTAAATTTGCTATATCAATTAAATATATTTGATATTATAGTAGATAACGACATATTTACGTAATCTATCAAATGAAATTTCACAATGTAAATGCACCCTTTTTTTGAT